CTTTTATTATATAATATATACATATACGTGTGTGTGTGTGTGTGTGTGTGTGTGTGTATTTAGTGTGTCCCAAAAATATATATATTAACACATTATATCTGAATAGAAAGGATTATTAATTATAACAGATTAAATCTGAAAAGAAAGGAATATCAATTGAGTTATCAGAAAAAAAGTGTGTATACATTTTTAGGATCACCCTGCATATTCTATTTAAAACTTCCAGAACTTAAACACCATAAAACAGTTATTCATATTTCCCCTTCCCACCAAAAAGAAAGCACAACTACAGTATAGAATCACCGATGTCTTAAATTTCTGACACTCTAGATGTCACTTCAAATGTAAACAGTCTGTATTGTTCCTACTCTGCGTTTCTTCATTGAATACATTCAGATCATTTTTCTACGGAGAAGCACTCTGCTTTCTTTTTGCTTTACATTCAAGGACATTGCCTATAAGTTTGTGTGTAAGAGACTTAAATATAAATTGGATCAATCAATAAACTGCATGGCTGCTTCCAGATAACTTAGCTCCCCCCATACCCCTTCAAGTCTTTCTATCTGAGTTCTGTGGACCTCAGTAATCCAAATCAGTACTTTGATCACAATATTTATGTCTTTATTTATTTTCCCCTTACTCAATGTGCTTGATTTTTCCATCCTAATGTGTTGTTTTTTTTTTCTAACACCTGGAAATAATCTTAGTTTCTAAATCCAGTAAATATCAAATTGAGGCTAAACCTGCTCAGTAAATTTAATTAGGTCAGTAGACCTAGTAGTTCCATGCAGAACAATAATTGAGGATTCTTTTTAAAAGAATGAATTTTTAAGTGAAAACAATTGTATTAAATAAATTCTGGTTGAACACATAGTTGAATTACAATTGTAGTGGATACAACGAGCTGGTAAAATAACTCTTGGCATAATAGTAATTATGATTTTTTAAAGTTTGTTTTAATTTCTAAAGTAATATTTGTCAAGGTTTTATATTTGAATCAAGTAAATTAAATAGTTGATTTTTTTTCTGAAAAATTCTGCTGCTCTCCCCCAACCCCACCCTGCCCCATACACACATATATACCCTAAAAAAAGGAAAAGAGCTTGGTCTTTCTTTTATAATCATAATTATTCTATCTTAAAAAAAAATAATGTGCTTGCTATCTAATGCACAATAATCTTTTCATAATGTTGTTTTCAGGGTTTGTTCTATGAGTTGTACCATAAGTTCCTTCAGGACCTTAAGCTAACAGGTTTTACACAAAAATTCAGTTAATAGCAAATGAAGTTAAAAGAGTTCCCTGTCATGTTTTTGTATTGCATTTTAATATGCTCATTTATATGACCATTGAGTATTTGAAAATGCTTTTATATAAAAATATCCCATGAAAATTTCCTTACATTGTTATGCAGATTCAATAAAAAGTAATGAGTATGACCAGAAAGCTACTATATCTTTACTTGGAACCTATTTTTTAAAAGTCACTCTCCATCTCAAGAATGATTTAATATTTCAGAATTATGCACACACACACACACACACATACATATATGCACATGTATATTGCATGTACACAATAGGGTAGAGATTATGGTGGGTGTTTTTCCTTAGAATTTTCATTCTTGTAAGAAAAGAAGAACTAATTGTCTGCATTTCTTCATATTTATCAAAATCTGTTGCTTGCTATAATAATCCTAAAGCACTTCTTGTCCATAGATTAATTGTGGTTATAGATGGATTTTACTCATTTAACAGGTATTGTTATCACAACCTAGTTTTTACAAATGTAATTGTGAAGTACATTTTTACAATTTAGATAAAATAATTTTTATCTTTAAATTGACCCATTATGTTGAGTTTCTATAATGCCTCAGTAAATAAAAGAATAAATTCAATTTAAAAAAAATTAATTATATTAATTTGTTGAATTTGGAAATTAATTAATTGAATATAATTAACCAATTTACATGTAATATATCTCTAAATATTTTATACATAATATACAAATAGTCTATAAAGTTGAATATTTTATGAAATATTTTTATAATTTCTACCAACTTTATACTAAATGCAGAAATATATTAGAGTAGATGTTTATTTTAACAGTTATAACAAATATGATATAGAAACTATTGTCAGAAAAATGAATGAATATGCTTAAAGTGTTATAAAAGTTATATTTTTTATTCTTTTCTCTATAACTTTAATATATGATAAGTCCTCACTTAATGTCATCCATAGGTTCTGTGACTTCAAGGGAAATTGCCTATAACTAAACCAATTTTACCACAGGCTAATTGACATAAGACTTAAGTTCCTATAATGGCATGTCACTGTTATCATGACATAGCATGAAATAATGTTATTCTATGACCTACTACGTAAGGAAGTCATTCAGCCCTAACCGGTTTGCAGACTGAAAGGTCCCAGGTTCGATTCCAGTCAAGCACATGTACCTTGGTTGCGGGCACATCCCCAGCAGGGGGTGTGCAAGAGGCGGCTGATGGATGATTCGCTCTTGTCCATGTTTCTAACTCTATCCCTTTCTCTTCCTCTCTGTAACAAAATCAATAAAAAATATATATTTTTTAAAAGTCATTCAGCTGTTACTTCCACCATATTTTCTCTATCTTCTTTTGTTTCTTTTAAAACTTTTTATTTATTTATTTATTTATTATTGAATTTATTGTGGTGACATCCTATATAATAAAAGGCTAATATGCAAATTGAACCAACAGCAGAATGACTGGTCACTATAACTTGCACTTACCACCAGGGGGCAGACACTCAAAACAGGAGCTATCCCCTGGTGTTCAGTGCACTCCCACAGGAGAATCACTGCTCAGCCAGAAGCCCTGAGCTGGGCTCATGGCTAGTGAAGCAGCAGTAGTGGGACTCTCTCCTACCTCTGCAGCAGCTCTAAGGATGTCCAACTGCCGGCTTAGGACATCCCCTGAGGGCTCTTGGACTGAGAGAGGGTACAGGTCAGGCTGAAGGACCCCCGAGTACACAAATTTTGTGCACCAGGCCTTTAGTTGGTTCATAAAATTATATCGGTTTCAAATGTATAATTCTATAGTATATCATCTATACATTTTATTGTGTGTCCCACCACTCTGGATTAAATCTTCTTCTATCACCATTTATCTTCTTTTTACCTTCTTCTTTCCCTCCACTACCTCCTTTTCCCTCTGGTAATAACCATACAGTTGTCTGTGTCTATAAATACCATATTGTGTGTGTTTTTAATCCCTTCACCTTTCTCACCCAGCCTCCCCGCACCTCCATCTCTCCTCTGATAGCTGTCAGTCTGTACTCTATCAATAAGTCTATTTCTATTTTGTTTATTAGTTTATTTGTTCATTAAATTCTACATATGAATGTACTTGTATTTCTCAGATTGGCTTATTTCACTTAGCATAATGCACTCCAGCTCCATCCACGCTATCCTAAAAGGAAAAGATTTCCTTCTTTTTTACAGCTGAGATGTATCATTGGCAAATATGTTCTCCCATTCATTGGGTTGTTTTTTTCACTTGGTTGATATTTTTCTTTGCTGTGCAAAATTTTTTAGTTAAATGTTAGACTTGAAATGATAAAAATCTTAGAGGAAAACACAGGCAATAAAATCTTGGACATTCTTGTAGCAATATTTTTTTCTTAAATATCATTTTGGGCAAGTGAAACAATTGAAAGAAAAAACAAATGGGACCCTATCTCCTTTTTTCCTTTTTCTTTTATTTTTTAAAATATATTTTATTGATTTTTTTTTTATAGAGAGGAAGGGAGAGGGATAGAGAGTTAGAAACATCGATGAGAGAGAAACATCGATGAGAGAGAAACATCGATCAGCTGCCTCCTGCACACCCCCCACCAGGGATGAGCCCGCAACAAAGGTACATGCCCTTGATCAGGTTCGAACCTGGGACCCTTCAGTCCACAGGCTGACACTCTCTCTACTGAGCCAAACCGGTTTCAGCTTATCTTCCTTTTTTCAGTTGCCTTTTTTACCTTGTCTATTCAGACCCCTACAATCTCTCCCCTACACCATTCTTTTTATTGTACAACCTACACTTCTACACCTCATTATCAGATTCACTATAAGCAGAGCTTTAAAAATTCCAGAAATATGAATCAGAATTTTTAAAAAATCTTCAATTATTGTACAACTTTTTAACTTTTTTTTACTGTTGACACTATTATAGATACCCCCATTTTTCCCTCCTTTTCCTATCTCCACTCAGCCTTTGCCCCCCTTCCCTCTGGCCATCACCACTGTTGTGTGTGTCTATAGGTTATGCATATATTGTATGTTCTTTAATACCGTCTCCTTCTTTCTACACTGTTTTCTAGTTGTGCAAATCTCCTCAGTTTAGCATTTAAGGTATTCCAAAAGGTAGTCTCAAATTACTTCTAACAGTGATTATTTTTTAACCATGGGCCATTATTGATGAAAATGTACATACACATATATGCAAAGAGTTGTGTATGATTTTATGAACAAGTTTTAGAAAAATATGCATGTTCTCCACCCTCACATCCTGTCACTCTGCTACAGATACTTTAAATTCCAACCATGTTAGACCATGAGGACAACCTGAGGACTGACACAGTGTTTTATGTGAAAACACATTCTCATGTGCCCCATGATACTATCCCAAATATCCCCACCAAGTTACTTGGCCTCAAGAATCTCTCCCTGAGGTCTCTCAGAATGTTTCCATTCTCTTTATCTGCCCCTTGTTGCCTATTACCTGGATAACTTGGGGAAGATAAATATCAATTTTCAAATTTAGTCTCTACTCTTCTTCCTAAAGTAATTTTTTTTTATTCTGGTGGGAAATATATATATATATATATATATTTATTTATTTATTTTCCTCCCAAAGAGCATGTACTCACCTTGATGAACATAGGCTTCAGTTATATTTAAATTTAATACTTATTTGATTTATGTCAAATCAAAAGGGTGTTTCTAAGGTGTCTTTTTTATTTTCTAGGTTTCTTGAGCACAGGAGATCAGGCTGCAAAAGGAAACTATGGACTCCTTGATCTCATACAGGCTTTAAGATGGACTAGTGAGAACATTGGATTCTTTGGTGGTGACCCCTTAAGAATCACTGTTTTTGGATCTGGTGCTGGGGGTTCTTGTGTCAATCTGCTGACTTTATCCCATTATTCTGAAGGTAACCGTTGGAGCAATTCAACCAAAGGTATTATGCAGGTTGCAAATTTTGACAATTTTGGTGTCTGCATGCCACCACCATCAGTAGTATGTGATACTCTGTATATATTTCTCTGTTCAAACTGAGTGTCAGGTAGAACTCAATAACTGTTTAAAATTTTGTTTCTTCAGCTTTTATGCATGTTCAGATTTTTGTCAAACTTTCTGTCTCCTAAGGAACTTGGTAAGGAAGCCCTTTCAAGCACACTTCAGAATGGTTCACATCACAGTTACTTTTCCTTCCTCCAAAAGGTGATTTTTAGGGAATGCCAAGGATGTTTGTAGTTATATCATCCTGTTTATTCAGTAATCAAAATAAAAGGCAAGGTGTGTTTTTATTTAAGGATTGTATATAATCTACTTTTAAGACAATAGACATTTAAAACCGTTTGCTAGCAAGAAAGAAGGAGCAATAAGCTAGTTTGTTTAGAAATGAGGTTTTCACTTGTTGTCTGAGTGGAGAATAGATGTCTGATTATTTTGCATGCATGATCCAAAATTGTCAAAGCATTGAGGTGACTAGCAGAGCTTTAGATTTAAAACAATAGGTCTGAGTTTAAAATTTTTTCCTATTTTTAACTCCAAAAGTGTTTTTCTCTCCAAAAGCTTGGCAAAGCAGCATCGAGCACTGAGGCTTCGTAAACCCAAGGAACTTTTTTCTTGTCTCCATTTTCTGGCCTTGACACAGTTTTTAAGTGCCTGCCCAAATCTCCTTATGTTGTTGTGTGTTTTTTATTGACTCCCATCTCACCATGAGTTTAGTCATTCATTCAACTTACATCATTAACTTGTATCCTCAAGAACAGAAAGTGTTTTATTGGAGAAGTTTGCAAAAACAAATGGTTTCTTTCCATTTCACACACATAAGAAATGGAAAGCTGGAAAATAGACATCAGCATAGGCCATCTTATATTTTGTACTTTATGTCATTTTATATCTATAAAATATACATTGTCAAGTGTTCATAAAACATCTTATTTTCTAAGACTGAGTTTTATGATATAAGCACCAAATATAGGATATTTGTTTTTGGTATCAAAGATACATTTATGTGAAATTTTGAAAAATCAGCAGGTAATTAAATGAGTATATGTATTTGGAGAATCATATATTATATATTATTATTATATCATATAATATATGGACCTCGTTATGGACATCATTCCTGTAACATCTCATATGTATTAGTAGAATTCTGACTCGAGATAACAAAATGGCACATATGAGAACATTGCCAATTGTATAGAGATTTGGTTGGTAATGAAATGGCTTATTATGAAATAACAGAGTTGTTTTCTTTAATAGAACAGATATTACAGTTCTAGCTAGGGACTACAGTAAGCTAATATTTCTGTTTAGACTTCTTAGGGTCATTTGATGTTCTTTCCTCCTAGGTTTTCTAAAACTTTTTGTAAATGTAAAGCAAATATGGGCACCCAAACTAGTTCCAGCCGGTATAAAAACTAGCATTCCATATAAAGAGATGAATCAGTTAGCTCATTGGCTAGCATCGCTGTTTATCAATGGATGATGTGGTAGACAGTGGCAAATGGCTATGCAAACAAGTCAACAATACAGCATTCCATAAACCTCTTCAAGGGAATCTGTTCTTACCTGGCCACCTAAGTGGACTTGTGTTTGGTCTATTCCTAAGCCTATCTCCACAAAGCTGCCTGATTTGACCAGGAGATTCTTGAGAGATGTCTGGAAATCATCATGCTAATTCTGTCTCCAGTGCAGACAGACTTTAAAGTTTGTAAACTCCCCAGAGCTGTAGCAATGCTCAGGCCTCTATCAACCAGAAATCAACGATAGCTTGTGGACACACAATAAGCACTCTCACTAACGATAAAAAAGATGGTTTTCCCAATACCATCTAGGTGTCATCTTTCAGATTATATTTAATGACAGAAATTTTCCGCAAAATAATTTTTGGTATGTGTAGTTAATGTCATTAAGCCCCTTAAAGGGGAAAATATATTATAGAAATTGCAAGATTTATATTATTTGTCAAGTTTTTAATTAGTAAAATATTTCTGTGAGCTAATGTTGACACATAGCCTATATAATTTTTTGAAATTATCTGTATGTATACCATTTACTCTTGCATACTTTGCTCTAGATGTCAGAAGATGTCAGAAACCAAAACAAATTTAAATTAGTATTGTTTTTAGAATTATCTAGGAACATATTATAGACTGCATTTTGAATACATATATGCATTTGGGGGAAAAATCTAAAATTCTGTTTCTAATTCAGACACTGTTTTAGCACCTTTGAGAAAACTGTTCTTATCTCATTAACACATATGAATAACTGAGCATGTGTTTAAATAACCACTCTACAAAGCTGCATTTGGAAAATGGTAACAAATGTACTTTTTAAAAAGAAAATAGATAAATTTAACACAAGGATTTTATTTGAAAATATCATAAGGAGTAGATAAAGTGCATTTGCAAATTTGAATGGCATGCAGTTCTAATCAAACTGCATATGGGACTGTGATTTGTAATTTTTAAATGCAATTAAGTGAAAAGCAACAGACCATGTACTTTGCATTTTTTATGATAAAACATAGCAGTGCACGTTCAAAACTGAAAGAAGTTAAATCACATCCCACAAAATCCTCTGCTGATGTTTTTTTCTTTAACCTAGTGAAAGCTTTATATTTGAAAGATGAATATTCAGCATACTATGCCTGACAGGAAAAGCTGGAAAGAGTATGTCTAAAGTGATATTCTGTTTTGTGTGCCTCAGGGCTATCCCCAGGGTATTAGCAAATCCCCAGCCCCAATGTGAGCTCTGAGCAATCCTTTTTCAAATAAAATCTGATTAAAACAAGCACACACAGCCATTTTGAAGGAAGACATGTGCAGCCAAATTGGAGGAAATATCCTCAAAAGACAACAGAGAGTCTGATGAAGAGATAGTGGGGAGAGACTTGGTCCCATCTGGTTGGCTTTGATAATAACATACGTGTTTACATGATGAGCACAGACAAATGTGTGCCTTTTTACCACTAGTAGTTACACATTCTCCTCCTCTCCTTGCTTACTGCCTCTTTGAGACAGATACAACTTATACTTCTTGAACCCTAAAGTGGTTGTAACTCAGAGCAGAAGACTTAATCCTCCTCTCAAATTCATTGTACCCTGGGGATGCCCTTATGCACCTTCTCTTAAACAAAAATGTCTTTATCTTTTGTTCTTGAGTTGTATCTGGGCTTTTATATACACTTCTGAAATATCTAATGTTATTTTTTTTTTTTTTATCACACCATCATTCAAAGGTCACCTGAAATTCTTTGTTGTTTTTCCCATAGGACTTTTTCAAAGAGCAATAGCTCAAAGTGGAACAGCCCTTTCCAGCTGGGCTGTTAGTTTCCAACCTGCAAAATATGCTAGAATGTTGGCCACAAAAGTTGGCTGCAATGTTTCAGATACAGTAGAATTGGTGGAATGCCTACAGAAGAAGCCTTACAAAGAACTTGTTGACCAAGATATTCAACCAGCACGATACCACATAGCCTTTGGACCTGTGATTGATGGTGATGTCATACCAGATGACCCTCAGATATTGATGGAGCAAGGAGAGTTTCTCAATTATGATATAATGTTAGGAGTTAACCAAGGAGAAGGATTAAAATTTGTTGAAAATATAGTAGATAGTGATGATGGTATATCAGCTAGTGATTTTGACTTTGCTGTTTCCAATTTTGTTGATAATTTATATGGATATCCAGAAGGCAAAGATGTGTTGAGAGAAACGATTAAATTCATGTATACTGACTGGGCTGACCGTCATAACCCTGAAACCAGAAGGAAGACGTTATTGGCCTTGTTTACGGACCATCAGTGGGTGGCACCAGCTGTTGCTACAGCAGATCTTCACTCAAACTTTGGTTCACCTACATATTTCTATGCCTTTTACCATCATTGCCAAACAGATCAGGTTCCTGCGTGGGCTGATGCAGCTCATGGAGATGAAGTTCCCTATGTACTAGGAATCCCCATGATTGGACCTACAGAGTTATTTCCTTGCAATTTCTCCAAAAATGACGTGATGCTGAGTGCAGTTGTAATGACATACTGGACAAATTTTGCTAAAACTGGGTATGTACCTAAGGAATAAAGTTTTCTATAATGTAATACAAAAATCCCTTTAAGCATTTAGTAGTAAAAATAATATATATTTTGTGCCCAAATGATTTAATAGATTAATAACAGCAAGACGTTGCCCCCCCCTTTTTTTTTCTTCAAAATTCTTACTGTTGTGCTTCAAAAATTAGTGTTTATTAGTTCTTACCTTTTAAGAAGTTTATTAAATAGGCTTACATATATATTGCACTCCTCAATAATTAAATTTCTTTTGGTATTTTACTTGAGTAAGACATTATTATTAAATATTGACTAATATTCTTTTATAGTGCTTTCCAGTTTGCAAAACTATAAGACTTTGGTTCTGCCAACTACATTGTTAGGTGGGCATGATAAGTAAGATTAATCCCATTTTACAGAGAAGAGACATGAGGCTATCAGAGCCTCTTCTAGATATTAATTATGTCTAATATGTAACAGTACTAGAACTCAAATCCTCACCTGCCAATTCCAATCTTATTTTTCCACTACTCCATGCTATCTCTGCTAGTTTGCCTAAAAGACAATGAATAGGTACATAAATTTTTAAATCTTTGAGTAGATAGTAGCCCATTTGTAAAAGAATGTGAAGCTTACTCAAATTGCATTATCATCCATCAAGCAATCTGCCTGCAATGAGATTTATACTTCCAAATTGTTGTTAAAACACTCTAAAGCCTGGCTGAATTGCCTCTTCAATTTGATGTCAACCTAGTACTATTTCCATTAAGAAAGTGAATAAAATAAATTTGTTCTCATAATTGCTTTTTTCTTTCTTAGTGACCCAAATCAACCAGTTCCTCAAGACACAAAATTCATCCATACCAAACCCAACCGCTTTGAAGAAGTAGCATGGACCAGATATTCCCAGAAAGATCAACTTTATCTCCATATTGGATTAAAACCACGAGTTAAAGAACATTATAGAGCCAATAAGGTGAACCTCTGGTTGGAGCTGGTACCTCATCTGCATAATCTCAATGACATTTCTCAGTATACCTCTACAACAACTAAAGTGCCATCAACGGACATCACTTTCCGACCTACGAGAAAAAATTCTGTACCTGTCACATCAGCCTTTCCCACTGCCAAGCAGGATGATCCCAAACAACAGCCAAGTCCATTTTCAGTGGATCAGAGGGACTACTCAACAGAGCTGAGCGTTACCATAGCAGTTGGAGCATCACTGCTGTTTCTGAACATCTTGGCATTTGCAGCCCTGTACTACAAAAAGGATAAGAGGAGACACGATGTTCATAGGAGATGCAGCCCTCAGCGTACTACTACCAACGATCTGACCCACGCACAAGAAGAGGAGATCATGTCCCTCCAAATGAAGCACACTGATCTGGATCATGAATGTGAGTCCATCCATCCACATGAGGTGGTTCTCCGGACCGCCTGCCCGCCAGATTACACATTAGCTATGAGGAGGTCACCTGATGATGTTCCCTTAATGACACCCAACACCATTACAATGATTCCCAACACTATACCAGGAATTCAGCCCTTACACACATTCAATACATTTACCGGAGGACAGAACAATACGCTGCCCCACCCCCACCCACACCCCCATTCACATTCAACAACCAGGGTATAGCCAGATAACAGAAACAAACTCTATTTTTTTGATGGATTGCAGTAAAAGATTACTGAAGATTCCTTGGCTTTCAACCTACAAAACTCTTACTTATTTAAATAAGGAGGAATATTATGTGAATATACATATCAAGGACTTTGGGGGTTTTGGAAAAAAAATGAATTGTATATATATACACACACAAATCAACTCTAAAAATGAATTTCAATTGCTTGAAGCAATTGTTCTGAATGATACTTTTTCATTCACATTCAAGAATTAATTTTTTGAAGATTTATGTTACAAAATGGAATTAGGCATGTGGAACACCAAACAGGAAAGAACTATGTCTGAAATATAAAAAAATAAAATAAAACAAAAAACAACCATGAATATGCACAAGGGACACACCAATGGAATGTCAGATGATTTTCACCAGTTTTAATTTGGAACCGTTTTGTTGTGTAGACCATATTTACATATTTGGATAAGTACACAAAACACCAATGCTGTTAATGGCCTTAGCAGAGGCTCATGCTGAAATTTGCCAGTAAAACAGAGAAGTTTAAAGACTGGCAGGTACATGATCACATAAGTGCTGTCAGTATAAAGTTGTGGGGAATACAGGAAACTGGATATTTTTAGCACGATGTGCATGATAATCTATATGCTTGGTGGCTGTGCTGCTGATTAAGCCGTAATTAAAATTCTTCTCATCCCATTGGAGTCTTTAATAGAAGCTTCCTCCATCAATTGGCAGAACCGAAAGAAGATTTTAAGGGGCAAAAGTAATTACAGTAAAATAATTCACAGAAGTTTTGATAATAGAAGGCATTAGTTCTTAAAGGTATTTGAAGAAACTGTAGGTATAGTGGTGAATACTCGCTATGAATCCCAGAACAACAATTTCCTGTGTTCTTAATGTTCTTTTCATTCCCACCTAAATTATTTATAAAGATGTAATCCTAATTGGACATGTGTTACAGGATCCATCAATTGCTGTGGTTTTTGTTACGCTGTATTTTGTTCCTTTTGGTAAGGTGAAGTGTGTCCAAAGAGTTACTTGCAATAGTCTTTTATGAAATGAGGATGCCCCAAATTACCACTCTGGTTATAGCTCTCAGTTAATTGATTTACTCATGTTGCATGGCAAAATGTTTACTAATAATAATTCAATATAAAGTTATGTCCCTCCTCACACCACTTATCTTTCTTACTGAGGTCCTGTCTCTGGAATTTATTCTGGAAATCTCAGTAGAGTACAACGTAGATGCAGAACCTAAGAGAGACAACATCTGGGGGATTTTAGTCTTACACGTACATGTGATTTTTAATGAATATTCTAAGACCACAGGAAACTCTTCATCCACTGTTGTTTACCGGTAACAGTATATCACAGACCTATCCAAATGTTTGTATATGTAATCAGATGTACATTTATATTAAAAAAAATGAGATGGACTTAAAGAGCACATCCTGATAAATACTTTCTCTCTTACCTGTACTATATTTCTATTAGACTAAAGTTATGTGATTTTTTTTTACATTTTTTCAGATGACTAGCAATTTTGATAGTTTGTAAGATAACGCAAAGAACTTTCTCTGACAAACTAACTGCAGTAACAGAAACCTTTCTTTTCAGTTACTCTTTTTCAAGAATGAAAGCTTATTATACAAAAAAAAAATTGTATACTACTTGATGGAAACAACTTTGTACATCTTGGCCATGTCATTGGTCATTGCGTGAAATAAAGATAAACTGGATAATGACTATTAGTCCAATGATAAGAGACATGATCTTTGCTCATTAAAGAGCTAAAATGTTTATTGCTGTTTTGTCTTTTGTAAAAAAATGAAAAGAAACATGACTGGCTCAGAGTCATTTTTCTAGACCAATCGAATTTTTGAAGACATTTAGGTAACTTCTTCAGAAAACACACCATGGATTTCCAGGCAAGTCTCATCTCAGATGAAACTGATGAAACTTTAACATTATGAATTTATAAGCCCAGGAATTTGTGGACAAATCAGCTTTGTATTTTTAAATACCTCTTGTCGGAAATAAAATGTGCCAATTGTTTTCAGTTAAAATCTTAGGTTCCAAATCTGATCATTGAGGAAAAGGTCTTTTGGAAATAAATCGGTGACAATTCATGGAATTAAAATAGATAGGTTCATTTTTAAGGGTGATTGAACTATCATAATGTAATGGACAGAAAGTTATCCTTCTAAGAAGATTTAAAAGTGCTGAGCAAGATAGTAAGCTGACACTAATAGATAAAATCTTGTATTTTAGGGAATTTCTTTGTTTATAATTCCTTCTAATTGTTAAACTGTCAGTAAAATTTAAATATTTATCCCTAACTTGAAATAAAAATTTATCTTAAAAAACAAAAATTCTTCAAAATCCAGAATGATCCACATGCAGTTTTTGCCTGGGGTGGTTATACTTTTAGATTGTGAAATGCCAATGTAAACCAATAAAAACAATTATCTAGCCTTTGCAATATTGTTTAATCAGAAAACTTTCTTTTACTATATTGATTAAACAAAAGATAAAAACAGAAATAGAAATAATAACAGAATAAGGTACGAATGGGATCTTTCATATGCAATATTTCACCTGGCAAAACAAAACATTCTACTTTCAACAACGGCCACATTTATATCCATCTACCTATTTGTTGCTCTAAATTTATCTGTCAATCGATCTACCTATATATACCATAACTGACATCTATTTTGTATTAATTTACCGAAATGGTTAAGGAAACAAAGCATAGCCCTATTCTTTTTTCTAAATTAATATAGTAACAACTTTGTGGAAGATAAAGCAGTTCTAGGTTGTATAACAGTTCCCAAGCCGTGATAAAGTCATTGTGAATGAGTGTTAGCTCTTAGTTTTATAGTTACAGCAGCTAGTTTTCTGAGTGAAAAAATGATGTCCCTGGATTAAAAGAACATTAAGCACTGTTTTTAAAGCTGAAACATAATTTTAAATGCAAGAAGTATTTTGGATATTGTTAATAATTTTTAACCAATATGTATAAAATGTGTTTATTTAGATGATAATTTTTCTTTAGGGAAAAATGTAAGTCAGAAAATTAAAATAATATATTTGGCATTACTTATTAATTTAGATTTCCCTGCTTCAGATTAAATTGCCAAGTCAAGGCTGCTAGAATTTATACAAACATTATCAACATATTAATGTTGTTTCAGAGTATGAGAGTTGAAATAAAAGTGACACATTTTATAGTTTAAATTTCTATTTAATATGTTGACTGAACAAGATCTGGTTGAGTGCTACAAATGTATCATGAGGTTCATCATTAACTTCATGGAAATTAGAAAGTTATTTGCTACAGCATTAAATGTATCCCATTTTAAATTGGAGATATCCTGTTAGCAACTCAAAGCAAAAAAAAAAAAAAAAAAAAACAAAAACAAAAAAAAAAGTCTGAGCAATGTATGGGGTATTTCATTCATGTCAAATTTAAATGTTGATTATAATGATGCTATAATTTAGATTTTTTTTATCTGTACCACATGAAAACAGCAGCAATTAAAAAACATATGTAATATTAAACAAGAAATAATACTTTCTTTTAAAAAATGCCAAAACTCATGTGTTGTCTCTGTAACAAATCCTTCCTTCTCAGTTATTTTATCTGTTGGCATTCTTTTCTAAAACACATATTAATATCTTGAAAGGATACAAAGAATGTGATTAAATGTGTTCCAGCTTTAAAGACACTACTACATAGAAATTACTGGGATTCTTTTATTTGGCGATTTTCACAGAAATATTTCACAGGACAAAATGATGAAAGGGATTTTCAGGAAGCTGTCAAACATCATGGCAGTTCTTTGGTGTTTATTTTCTTCTGTTTGGTGCAAAAGACTGGCTTTTTCCTTCAAGTCTAGTAATTAGTTGTTTTATACTATCACTTTTTAATGTGAGTGAAAATTAGATAATTTGGTTATACTTGTGAAAACATGATCCCAAATAAATCCAATTAATGGGCACTTCCCCGCTGAGATTTTGTTATCATTCATTTAATTGTCTTCTCAAGCTTTACTATTAACAACAATTGTTTTGGCTCTTTAGTCAATAAAGTAAGGGAATTCCTCCAATAGCCTTATACCTCTCCTGCACTTGATACAACAACATACACTGCAAATTTCCATCAGAAGTTTCTAAAGAAATTTCCTACTGACATGAAATATTTGGTAGACAACTTGATTCTTTTTCATAAGCATTCTGGTTTGATTCTATTCTAGCACTCTTCTGTATTTGTTTTCAGGCCAGAAATCAATTCCATTTGATAGGGTGTGGATTATACAAATTGAAATAACCATCTGCAGGGCATAAGTGCCTTTTTTCCTGGTATTTTATTTATAAATCTTACTGTCTTCCTTTTTTTTTTCTAATTTACAGAGCTTGATAAGTCTATTTAAAAGGTACAACAGGATGACCATGTTATAAGTTTTCAAAAATAAATTTTTATTTAAGAGGGTCTTTTCTTGAATTTAATTATATTTTTGTATGATATCAAATGTTGCCAAATGACTTCTGAAAAAGAGCAAAGTGAATTTTTGGAAAGCAAGTTATTTATGCATCTGATTTAATGATTCTTAAGTGTGGAAACTTAAATCTCTAACAAACTTTAACATTCTCCCAAATACTAGGTAAGTTTAATTTAAAAGAAGTTTAAAGTTGTTAGGGACAAACATAAATTAGATAGACACATAATTATTTTGTCTAGCCAACCATAATGCACTCCATACTAAATGCTTACAGGATACTTATGAACCTTTCACATTCATATATTTACAAATGACTTTGTATACCTTTTTTTTTTTTTTTACTTTGTATACCTCTTACATATGTACTAATGTTGTAAATTTAGTCCTCTATGAAAAGTCAAACCAAAATGCAAGTATTTTTGTGTCCAAATGAATGATAATTGAAGCTTTAAAGAAAATTGTCAAGTCACAGTAACAAAAAATCAGCAGATAAAGTTAAAGCAGAGCGACTTTTTTGAATGCCATGCATAAGGTGATACCTATATTAGATGGTGTATTTAAAAGGATTTAGTATTTTTAATTTGTCCCTTGCATTCATATCATTTAGCAAATTAATAGGACATATGTCATGATTTTTGTAATAGAGGCCATTGGGTTGTCATGATTCGATTTGTGTTTGGACATCCATGGCTTTTACTAAAAACACGTTTACTATAAAAAAATAAATATGACTGTGTTTTCCAATTTGTGCTGACTATTTTTAAACTCAGAAATAATTTCTTCTCTGTTTGACACACAGAAAAACATTTCCAAGACAAGTGCTCTCTTGCAACTTCTTTGAACTGCCCACACATGTGCTGACAGTTCTGATTTAATGGGAACAATATTTTATGGTCTGTTCACCTCTTTGTGAATGCAGGAAGAGAAGTTGAAGAATAAAGTTTGGTATCTATGGTACAATTGTTACACAGCTTGTCAGAAAAGCAAGAGAAAAATGTAAGGTGAAAAAGAAAAAAAATAGATTAAGGAAATGAGAGGAAAAAAGAAAAAAATTCTCAGTTTTAATTTAATGACTTTCTGCCTTCAAATAGTTTTGTAATAGATATATGTGACAGGATATTTAAAAAGAGAGCAAAGAGATTTAAATAAGCCCCTTTAAACCATAATCTATTGTCCTTAAAGAGCAAAATCAATAACATTTAGAAAGAAACAAGAAATTTAATCCATGATCCAAGTCTTGGTTAAATTGTGTCACTGGAAACAAACAAAAGAACAAAAATCTAGAGTGATATATCTCCAGCCTTGTACTATCTACTTAATACTAATCTTGATAGAGAAGACTGAATGAAGTGTTGGCATCTCTTATCTGAATATAGCCCCAAGATAAGAATATAGCAAGACATGAGAGAATTTTCCTATACGTGGCTTAAGGATCAATATTTCCAAATCACTAAATAAAATAATTGACATTGCTTTGTAGGTCTCTGTGGCTGCATATGACCATCAGTATCAAATAAATAACGCAAAAACACATTACAAGGATGTCTCTCCCCATAAAAGGTTTTGATGTTTTGTAGAATTTGATAATTAACATTTTATATTATTTCATTTTCACTACATTTTTATATTTCCTTACAGATTACATATTATTCCTAGATTCAAAAAAGAAAAAGAAATTCCAATCTAGTCTGTAAATGTTCATATAAAAGCAGCATTTCCAATGGAGGGCTATAATTTGATGCACTTCTCACTGCCCTAATCATGGAGAATTGACTTTGAACATCCCTCGACCCACAGGTTGAGAACCTCTAGCAGGGTCACCTAAGACCATCGGAAAGCACAGATATTTACATTATGATTCATTAACAGTAGCAAAATTACAATTATAAAGTAGCAATGAAAATAATTTTATGGTTGAGAGTCACCACAACATGAGGGTCGAGGTATTAGAAAGGTTGAGAACCACTGCTTTAGAAGCTTTCTGTCTGTCTCTTGAAAATATTAAATTTCACTCTCAGAGCTGACTTATGCACTAGAGGAAATCTTCCCACCAATTATGGCATCTTCAATTTTCATGCCTTGTCCCATTATTATTTATGCCTTCTTCTACAAGGGTGTAAAATGTGTGTGGAAAGGCTTAAGATAATATAAATAAATGGTACTTCGGGCTGTTAAGAAGCTAGTGTACAACATTGCCGAAGCCTGTTTGGCTCAGTGGATAGAGCGTTGGCCTGTGGACTGAAAGGTTCCAGGTCCGATTCCGGTCAAGGGCATGTACCTTAGTTGTGGGCACATTCCCAGTAGGGGGTGTGCAAGAGGCAGCTGATTGATGTTTCTCTCTCATCGATGTTTCTAGCTTTCTAAATCTCTCCCTCTCTGTAAAAACTCAATAAAATATATTTTTTAAAAATAACCTAGTGAACATCAATCAAGCAATGAGAGGAATTAGTCATTCACTCAACAAATGGTGCCGGCCACTGCCAAACAGTATGTTGTTAGACAACAGGACAAATCTCTGTCTTACCTATTAACATACAAGTATGGCCAAACACGGAATAACTATAAATACAAACTATTCAGACCATCTTTTGTGCTATCCATTGTACCAGATCGTTACATAATACCTTGTTTTATCTATAGGGGTCGTTATAAGTAGGTTCACAGTTAAGATATTTTAAACTATTTTGTATGTCTTAAATGGTAAGCATAAAATATTATTTGAATCTTATTGAACAAGTCCATCAACAAAGGCATGTGTGTATCCATCATTCCCAATAATAATTATGGCCATGTCTGAAGCCACACTGGGCTATGCCACAGAATATGAAATATTTAGCTTAATCCTCTACCCAAATATGTGGTTATGAACTCTAGCATTGCACAACACCATAATTCTGGAATTCTAAAGCATGAGGCTGCAGTTGAGACCATTTGAAATATTTTCCTTATATAGATCAACTGTTTTATATTTTTCTTCTAAAAGTCCTGAAGTCTCAATCACCTGACTTTTGTTTCAAAAATTAGAAACAACTATTATATCTTGCATGAGTCATTTTTCTTCTCAGAACAAAAATTTCCATTTTCATTACAAAAGAATTTAGTCTTTTTTTTTTTTTTTTTTACCATACTAATCATTGCTTTTTAAAATATTTTTACAAGCCTAAGTTTCTTAGGAAGTGTGAAGTCTAGGATTAAATATATAATTGCTTCAAGCATAGGTATATTTACTTAATAAAGACTAGATCCTTCATTAATAGAGACTACTATTCACTCCCTCATTATAGAATATCTTCTTTTAATATAACTTATGGTAGTATTACCTTTTTTAGTGGCTACATCAAATTGGCAGTTCAGATTGAAATCTATTCCCTATTAAAATGCCTTAAAATTTCTACATGTACTGCTGTTACATTAAGCAAATTCTCCCTTCATGGAGTCCTTGATCATTTGAGTTTTATTTCTTCTTCAGGGTATTAAACACTATTAAATTTCACTTCATTCAATTCAGCACATTGTTTTAGCCTATGAATATATTTTAATCCATCCCATAGCCATGAGATTCCATAAAGTGGTAAACATATCCTCTATCTTCACTCGGGTCACTTATAAAAACACTAGAGGCCCCTCAGCCCAGCCTGTACTCTCTCCAATCTGGGAACAATCCAGGACCACTGGATTCCAACCAATCACCTGCTGGCCTGCCTGCCTGATTGTCCCTAACCACTTCTGCTTGCCAGCCTGATCACCCCCTAACCATTCCTCTGCCCGTCTGATGGATGCCTAACTGCTTTCCTGCCTACCCAATTGTCCCTAACTGCCCTTCCATGCCAGCCTGGTTGCCCCTAACTGCCCTCTCCTGCTGGCCTGATTGTTCCCAATAGTCCTCTCCTGCAGGCCTGGTCCCTCCCTACTGCCCTCCCCTGCAGGCCTGGTCCCACCCAACTGCCCTCCCCTGCTGGCCTGATCGCCCACACTCACAACTGCCCTCCCTGCTGGCCATCCTGTGGTGGCCAACTTGTGTGTTATAGTGACAGTCAATTTGCATATTACCTTTTTATTATATGGG